GCAATTTAACAGACACATGGTGGTGGACATGGCAAAGTGCACTTGAAGCCTTCCAGCCTCTATTTTATCAACCCCACAAATTTCAAAAAGGCATATGTTTGGGCAGCTTCACGATCTAACACTGTTGAAGTCTTTAGCTGCTTCTACACCTGAAAATCCCGAGGATGTTTCCTCGGGGAAAACACTCCAACGCTCAAGTCAGCAATACTCAATATTCTAGAGAGAGATGCTCTCAAGGAGTAATTGCAGAGAGAGAAGCGTAGAGATTAATTACCTTCATCGGAGGTAGTTGGGGGGTATTTATAGCCCCTTGGTGCTAACATGCATCTGCACGTGTAAGCATCCCCTCGACCCACGTGTCATTGGTCACGTGGGTATGCTTGTACTAATGCTCCTTCAGCTTGGGCTAATGGGTGGTAGGCTAGGCCCGTTTTGCACAGCCCTGTTTGGGCGTTGGGCCTGTTGGGCCTATTCCAACATTACTCCCCCCCTAGTGTTCGGTTGACGAACTGGGATGGATGTGACCATGGGTCAACGTTCTAGCTGGTGACTATGATGGGCAGCTTTAACTGCTTACTGCCGACCTTGGTGATGGCCGAGCTGAGAGGTAACACGAAAAGTGGCGAGCTCGCAAGCCTGAAAACGTGTGGGCGAGCTGGTATTCATAGCCACATTAGTGTGGGCTGGTCATGGCGGCAAGCTGAAGTGATTCGCAACAGACGAGCTCGCTCGGGGACCAGCCATGCATGTAACGCCCGATCAGCTCATCCGTGTGATGACCTGACCTTTGAGTACCACCGAAGTGCGACCAGAAGACGCGACCTCACATTCAGTGCGACTTGAGTTTTTTGACCACCACTTTATCATCTCGCACGAGTGGTGCTGTCAAATAGGGCGACCTAAGGCACCCATTGATTTACGCAAAAGTTTGTGGCCTGTGTGAGCTACAATCCGTGTACCGACCTGACAAATGTGGTTGTCGCCATGATACGTGGCGAGCTGAGTCTTGGGGAATTTTAGCAAAAGATCCACACTTTTGAACGAATTATCACGGTTGAGCCGATCTGGCACAATGTCATGTTTGTAATGACCTGGTAAGTGTGCTCGCAATGGCGAGCTGATGTGACAGTATAGGGTACACATCAGTAGTGACGATCTGAATCTTGGGATTTTTTGAATCAAGCAAATCTCTGAGGAGATACGATTGAACTTCCCATATCTCTCTACCTTCCCCGTCATAAATGTTGGCTCGGCATTTGAGGGACGTGACAGCTAAAGCCGGCGCACGCTATGCAAAAGGGGCGTTAAGCGCATGCCACGTGTGGGACGCTAGTTGGCGCGTCAGAAACACGCGTACGGCAATTAACGCTACCATATCCTTCTCTGCGTAACCGTTTCCCCTTTTCATTTTCATTTCTGTATTTGCTTAAACTCTCTAAAATTCTCTGAAGCGAAATGCTCCAGCTTGAAGAACAGCACACCGAATCGACTTCACATCAGTTTCAGGTAAAAATGGTTTCATTAAGAGAACTCACAGAGCAACGAGGTAACCAGGGCAGAGAGGGAGAAGAGGAAGGGGTTTTGTCAGTGGAGCCTATCACTATGATAGTGCCGCCTGAGTTGCATGACTCACCAGAAACAATGGCGCCTGAGGGAAACGCCAGTTCGAACGCTAGGGACGACGGCAGCGACCATCCCACTGCATCGTCTAGCAGTTTGTCCACCGAAGAGACACCCAGCCGTGAAGAAGGGATGGGGGATGTGGTGAGCAGTGTCTCAGATCGGCTGGTGATTGGGGAATGGGAAGGCGTGACAATCCCGGGCAGGTTGAGTAACCTACGAAAAGCACCGAAAGACCTGCCCGCTGGATTCAGGTTCAAGGCTGCACTTCATCACGAAGTAGCAGATTGTGCGCCCTCCATAAGTGGGTATAAAAGGCTTGAGGAGATGGTGAGGGCGTACCACATCCCCAAAACCGTACTGCTATGGACTGGCGGGCAGAACGAAAGGGCGTGCACAGTGTCGCAAACGGGCTGGATACCAGTGTACGTGGACCACTTTGACGCCGGCCTGCGGTTTTCCCTGCCCGGATTGGTGTTCGACCTGCTGGCGGAATACGAGCTGGCGCTGACGCAGCTGACGCCCAACAGCATAAGGTTCATTATTGGCTTTATGCTGTTGTGTGAGCGACTAGAGGTGCCGGCCAAGGCGATCGTGTTCAGGTCGCTATTTTAGTGCCGGCTGTGTCCTAACTCCCGAGGCGCGAAGTGGTACTATCTCTCCGGGAGAGACAAAAGCCAACTGTTCAAGAATGTCCGGAACAAAGTAGCGAGGTGAAAGAGGCAATTCGTATTTGTTCGCGACACGCGAACAGAGAGGATAAGCAATGACCTCGCTGCCCGGCTGTCAGAATGGTGCACGCCAAATGCCCATATTAATTACCCCCAGCTGCTGCCTCGGGATGTCGATCTGAAGAACCAGCTGCTTGAGTATGCGCAGAGGGAGGGTTTGATAGATCTAGAAGCCCTGATTACCTCGGAGCAGCTCGCCGTGTTCGGGTTTGTCGATGTGACAAACCTGTTCAGCAAAGGTATATTTTCATCATATAACATGGATTCTAGCCGAGCTGAGGCTTATTCATTTGTTTGTGCAGGTGAAATGAGCAGCATACTGGAACGCCAGCGCCAACGTGCCCAGAGTTCCCGAGGCCGTGGGGCAAGCAGCGCGCAACCCCGGCAAACACGGTTCGACGAGCGGCCACCCCCTGCGCCTCAATCACGCGGCTCGTCACACCGGGGATCCAGCTCGTCATCAAGGCCACGAGTAGATCACAGAACTGAGGCTGCGGCTCGGGGCACGCGCAGATGCGCACGTGAGGAGACAGAGAGCGAGGAGGATGAGGTCCCCCTTGCTAGGCGCAGAACAAGCGGGGGGACTCAGCCCGCACAGGTGGCCCGTCCTGCAACCGTGCGTTCACCGAACGCATCGTCAGTGACTGTGCGGGCAGCAGTGGAGCCCACCTCTGCACCGGCCTCGACGTCCGGCCCCAGGATTGCTTATCCTGAGGGCTTCAGCTATGTGCGGGCAGAGTGTCAGCCCGCCATGGTGCAAGCCATGCACAGCTTTATGCCCCCTATGGATAGCAAGCGGGCCAAAGCTTTTGTGCAGCAGCATGGCGGCCAGGTCGCCATGATAAAACTTATGGATGTAAGTATCTGCTCATATCTGTTTAAGTGTTTTACTTTTCCTTACTAGGTACTTACGATTGTTGTTGTTTGGCAGGCATTCAGCTATGCTGTGGCTCTGTACGAGAGTGAGCAGGTGGCTCGTACACATAACAGCGAGCTCGGTTCCAAGTGCAAACAGCTGGCTGCTGAGAAGGCCAGCCTTGTGGACGATGTGAATCGTCTGCAAGGCTCTGAAATGGCGAACCAAGTTGCGGTTGCAGAGAGCAGGGCGGACGAGCTCGCCACCAGAATCAATGAGCTCATGGAGGAGTTGGAGCGAGCTCGAGCTGAAAAAGAGAGCGGCATCTAGGCGGCAAAGGATGAGACCGCCAGGGCCGAGGAGCGAGCTAAGAAGGCCGAGGTCGACAGGGACCATGCTCAGCATGAGCTGGGTTCCCTTAGGCATCAGGTCACCGAGGCTGACAAAAACCTCACTGCTGCAGAGGAGGCGCTGAATGACCTGAAGGCATCTCATGCGCGCTCTGTCAGCATTGCTCGAGCCCAAGGAGCGGAATGGTTGGTCGGCTCGTCCGCGTTCCAAGACGCAGTGGTGGTGGCGTCTGCTAACATGACCACGAAGATCTACAACGAGATCCGTGGTAAGGTGCTGAACCACCGCCCGGACTTTCCCATACGCGAGCTGGCGTTCTTCGACGGGGAAGATATTGACGAGCAGGGTCAGAGCCTTGCTCCCCTCGATGAGACTACAGTGCGGCTGAGGTGGGACCTCAATGAAGAGGGAGTACCTGTCTGGCCTCCCTCAGTTTTGGAAGAGGGGGAGGATCCAGCGGTCTGCCCTCGTTTGATGGATGGGTAGAGGGGGTTCCTGTTGCTGAGCAGGAACCGTCAAGTACACCTCCGAACTCTCAGCCCGCCATGGAGCTGCCCGTCGAAGCACCAGCTGCCGAGCCTGCTGCTTGTTCGCCTCTGGCTCGCTCCTCTCCTCCAGCGGTTGATGCGTCCATGCCTGTCGACTTGACGGACGATTAGGCTTAGAGATTTTGTTTTTTCTTTTGTATTTCCTTTTTGCGCATTTTTGTATTTGATCAATGGATCCATATCACATGTACGTTTAATGTAAACACCTTTGATGAAATACAAAAATGAATGTTCCTCTGAATGCCGCCTGAATTTTTGCGCATTTTTCCTCTGAATTTTTGTTGTATTTCCGGTATGTTCTTGTTTACAACTGTCGAATAACAACTTGAATAAAAGAATAGTATACAGGCTAACTGTAAAATTTTCTAAGATTTTGTATGTTCCAAATGTAAGGTAACTGACGCCCTCGTATATCTGCTAACACGTAAGAACTAGGTCGTTTAACTTGAACAACCATATAGGGGCCTTCCCAATTAGGAGCGAGCTTGCCCATGTGCGAATGAGTGTTAGTTAACCCAGCTTTACGTAGGACCAGGTCGCCAACTTGAAACTGGTGAGCTCGGACTCTTTTATTGTAAAATTTTGCAACGCGACTTTGATGTGCCATATTTCTTATTCGGGACATCTCCTTGATTTCTTCCATAAAGTCTAGGTTCTCTCTTAAGAGTTGTTCATTATTCTGATCGTCATGACGATTTGATCTATCGGATGGCAATCCAACCTCCACTGGGATGACGGCTTCAGCTCCGTAGGCCAGGCTGAAAGGGGTTTCGCCCGTGGCCGAGCTGGGTGTGGTGCGACAAGACCAAAGCACTTTATTGAGCTCGTCAACCCAATTAGAATGCGCGGCCAAAACACGTGTCTTAAGGCCTCGCAAGACGATTTTATTGGCGGACTCGGCTTGCCCGTTGGACTGTGGAGTATACACGGACGTCAAGGCGAGCTCAATGCCATAGTCGTTACAGAACGATCTCAGTGCTGCCGCCCGGAACTGTGGCCCATTGTCGGCGATAATTCACTTAGGTATGCCGAACCTGCACAATATTGAATTGAACAAGAATTCTTCTATTTTCCTTTCTGTTGTCGTGGACAGCGGTTTAGCTTCTATCCACTTAGTGAAGTAATCCACTGCAACGACCAGGAAAGTGCAGCCTCCTTTGCCTTTGATAAAAGGGCCGAGCAGGTCGACACCCCATTGAGCAAAGGGCCAGGGAGACGTGAGAGATGATAGTATTTCCCCTGGCATGTGTATATCATCAGCATTGAACTGGCAGGTCGGACATAACTCTGCGCATCCTCGACCATAGTGGGCCAGTAATAACCATGCCTCAGGAGCTTCCGAGCTAAAGTTTTGCCACCGATGTGCGTGCCACATACTCCTTCGTGAACTTCTCTCACAGCGTATTCAGCTTCGTAAGGAGTAAGGCAGCGTAGTAGGGGCATTGAGGCTGCTCGTTTGTAGAGCTGGTTCTCTAACAAAGTGAAATGTGCTGCCTTTCGTTTAACCAATTTCGCAGCGGACAGATCTTCAGGTAGCTCGCCACTTTGCAGATAATTTATAAGTGGGGTAGTCCAGCTCGGCGTGGAGGGATCTGTGCTTAGTAGCTGACACTCGACCGTGAAATCAGTGTAGCTCGGAGCGTCCAACACTTCGACGATGGTTGACCTCTGAGGGTTAAAGTCTCGCGAGGAGGCCAACTTTGATAGCTCGTCAGCTCGGTGGTTGTCAGCTCTTGGTATTTTGTCGATCTGAAATGAAGCAAATCTTGACTTCAATCTGTTGACCACAGAGGTGTAACGGCCAAGCTGGGGATCCCTAACTTCACAACTGCCATTTACCTGGCCCACCATGAGCTGAGAATCACTGAACACTTGTATGCTCTGCACCTTCAGCTCGGACGCCAGTTTCAAACCATAGATGAGGGCTTCATATTCAGCAGCATTATTAGTGGTCTGGAACTTAAACCGCAATGCATGCTCAGATTTAAAGCCATCCGGGCCTATCAACACAGCCCCAGCACCTGACCCTTCAATGTTAGCAGCTCCATCAACATACAGAACCCAGGCTGGGTAATCAAGCGCCTTGTCTACCTCCGTCGTCGAGATGCATTCTACCAGAAAGTCTGCAATGGCTTGGCGTTTTATGGTTGTGCGTGGCTGAAACTTGAGGTCATATTCACTCAGCTCGACGCTCCATCCAATAAGCCGACCAGAGAGTTTTTCTCAATGGTAGATCGGTATAGACAACAATCTGATGAGACTAAAAATAGGCTCTCAGCTTACGAGCCGTGCAAACCAAAGCAAAAACAGCATTTTCTGCTAGTGAGTAGTTCTGCTCGGCACCTTGTAATACCTTGCTCACATAGCAGATAGGCTTCTGTCTCTTATTCTCTTCCCTTAATAGGACCGAACTCACTGCCTCTTCTGTGACCCCCAGATACAAATATAAACATTCCCCATCGACAGGCTTGGACAGCAGGGGTGCGGATGCCAAATACTGTTTGAGCTCGTCAAACGCCTGTTGACACTCATCAGTCTATTGAAAGTTTTTAGGCTCCCGCAGAGCTTTGAAGAACAGAAGGCACCTTTCTGCCGATTTGGCTATAAACCTGTGCAACGCAGCCACCCGACCTGTCAGACGCTGTACATCTTTTACTATCTTGGGGGGTTCCATCTGCTGAACGGCCTGCACCTTCTCTGGATTTACTTCAATTCCTTTCTTGGATACCACGTACCTTAGGAATTTCCCGGATTCCACAGCAAACGTGCACTTCAAGGGATTCAGCTTCATTTGTGCTCGGCACAAGTTTTGAAAGGTTTCATCCAGGTCGCCTATGTGATCCTCAGCTTGCACACTAGTGACTATCATGTCATCCACATATACTTCTATGTTTCTGCCGATCTGGAGCTTAAAGATGATTTGCACCAACTTCTGGTATGTCGCTCCAGCATTTTTGAGGCCAAACGGCATCATGACATAGCAGTAGATTGCATCACCAGCGTAAAAAGCTGTTTTCTCCTGGTCGTCTAGCAACAGTTGGACCTGATGATAACCCGAGCTGGCATCAAGGAAGCTCATCCGTTCGTGTCCTGCTGCCCGCTCTACTAACTTCTCGACATTTGGCAAAGGATGAGGGTCTTTTGGACATGCATCATTGAGGTTGGTGAAGTCAATACACATCCTCCACTTGCCATTTGGTTTTTTGACGAGCACAGGGTTGGACACCCATTCAGAGTACTCTACTCTTCTAATGAAGCCTGCCTGTAGCAACTTTTGTATCTCTTCGTCTATGGCAACTTGCTTCTCCGGGCCGAAAAGGCGACGTTTCTGTACCACTGGCCTTCTGGTGGGGTCCGTGCTTAGCTTGTGGACTATCAACTCTGCGGGGATGCCCGGCATTTCATCCGTAGTCCACGCAAACACGTCTTGATTGTCCCTCAAAAACTTCAGAAGCTCTGCCCGTTCCTCCTCTGTGAGTTTGGTGCCAATCTTAACCGTTCGATCCGGCACATCAGGGTTCAGAGGGACCGTTTCTACCGGCTCCACTGGTTCTGCTTTCTGCTCGACACCCTTAGGTCGGTGTTCAATGTCCGAAATGCTCATTGTCTGCTGAGCGAGCTCGGTTGGTTTGTGATTTTCAGAACCTGTAGGAGCAGCAGCGAGCTCAACCTTCTTGAAGGTATCTTGGTAGCATGTTCTTGCCATCTTCTGGTTCCCTTTAAGCACTCCTACCCCCTGAGGAGTTGGGAATTTCATGCAGAGATGAGGTTGTGAGATGACAGCCTTCAGCTCGCAAAGGATAGCTCGTCCCAGTATAGCGTTGAAAGCTGACTCCATCTTGACGACCAGGAAGGTAACGAAAGCCATCCTAAACCGTGGCTTCGAGCCCGCATAGATGGGTAGGGTAATGATTCCTTCGACCGGGACAGGCTGATTGTCGAACCCATATATAAGCCCTTCATATTTCTACAGTGAATTTGGATTCAGCTGCATTTTCTGAAAGCAACTCCAATACAGGATATCCGGCGAGCTACCCATATCAACAAAGACTTTGTTGACATTATGATTGCCTATATGAACCGTTGCCACAAAAGGGTCTACATGCGGCATCATAACGTCGGGCTCTCCTTCTTCTCGCTTATAGTCTACCGGGTTGAATGTGATGGGCGTATTTTCCCATTCTGCTTCTTCAAACGGGCGTTTCAAAGGTCTGTTTTTGTTAACTGTCATCACCTGGCGTGCATACGTCTTACGACCTCGGGCGCTTTGGCCCCCAAAGTGAACACCACCCGATATCATGTTTATGGTACCAGAAGGTGAGGGTATCCCAGCATAACCTACCCCTTTCCTGTCTTTTTGATTCGGGGCGGTAGTTCTCGGTCCCTGTCCTCTCCTGTTGAAAGGACGTCCTTGGTATGCTCTGCCCTGTTCAGAAGGATACTGGTTATCCTGATATGCATCCTGCATCCCACCATGCTGGTACCTCTGTCCTTGAGGTCGGTCGTACGCTTGTACAAAATGGGTTTGAGTGGGTTGCTGGGTGTGAGGCTTCTGAACATACCCTTCTAGCTTCCCATTACGAGCCAAAAACTCTAACTCGTCCTTCAAGTGTTGGCAGTCCTCTGTATTGTGACCATATACACGGTGGTAGTCACAATGCTTGCTCTTATCTGCCCTCGGGGAATCATGTAGTGGGGGTGGAGGTCTCCTAACCCAGTGCTGAATTTGTGCCAGGATTTGAGACCTAGGTAAGGTCAAAGGAATGTAACTGGCATATTTCGAGAACTCAACTGGTTTCCCCCATTGCTCACTGACCTTCTACTTCTTCTTTTCTTCTCTTCTCGGTTGTTGTTCTTGGCTTCTGCTCGGCTTATCATCAGCTCGTCGCTTGGACGATTAAAAGTCCTCCGATAGTATGAAGCTGGCCGACCTGTCATTCACCTCGTTCCACGTCTTCGATGGGTTTTCAAGCAGGTCGTCTAGGAACCGGCCACGCTTCAACCCATGCAACAGGGCGGACAGGCAAATCGTGTCTGGGACATTATCAATGTCCAAGGTGGCTTTGTTGAACCGTTACATGCAATCCCTCAAAGACTCCCCTTCCTTCTGGTTAACTTGCATCAGCTCAGTTGCTGTGCGCTTGATCTCCCTTTGGCTCGCAAATTTGTTAGAAAACAGCTTGGCGAGCTGGGAAAACGAATCTATTGAATGTCTGGGGAGTTTGTGATACCATCTCCTGGCTGTTGACTTGAGTGTTGCTGGGAACACTTTGCACATCATGGCATCATTGGCGTTTTGGATTCTCATGATGGCTTGATAGGTGTGCAGATGTTCATCAGGGTCACCCGTGCCATCATATGTCTCCAGGTGGGGAATTTTGAATCCCTCTTGATACGGCTCTGCCGTAATTGATAAGTTTAGTGGTGCACTATCCAAATCCAGAGTCTGTTGATGCGACCTGGGACTTTTCAGCTCGTCAATAGACTTTTGTACGTCCCGCAGTTGTCTTTCAAGATCTGCGTTCTTTCTCATCAGTTCTTCACTATGTTTGGACGAGCTGGGCTCGATATTCAACTTCCCACTTCCCCTTGGCCTGGTCGGCACTACTATGTTGCTGAGAGCGGGGGAATTTCAAGTTGCAACAACCGCAGCTGGTTGTGCATCCCTGTTCAACAAAGGAATCAGGGGGTCATCAGGAATCAGACGGGCAAGGATTTTTCCCATTGCCATTTCGAGAACTCTGGTTCTCTCTTCGAGCTCGGTTGTCCGAGCAGGTTCTGTTGACCTTTCAGGTCGTTCACGCTGTGAATTGTACGATCTAAAAGGTCTTTGTCTTATTCCTGTTGGAACTTGGAACTGTTCAGGCCGGGTTGCATACTCAGTTGGTGTTCTTTCGTCATCTGTTTCACTTAGGTGATCCTGTTTGGCTCCCCCGACGAAGAGGTTTCTTTGCATTGGCCTAAAGTCATTCAACCCGGGCTCAGATACTTGAGCGTCCTCCTGTTCGTCCACCTCATTCCTTGGGGGGCGACCTCCTGTAAAAGTTCGAACCATTTTGTCTTTCAGCAGGTTAAGTTACACAACTTCTTGTT